AGGTAGAAGTCCTGGCATATTATTATGCCTGAGCGCTTCTAGGATATATAACACGTCTAGCATTTCAACCCGTAGCCGTAAAAAAAAAAAAAAAATTAGGCAGTTGTTCTATATCCTTTCTGGTTCATCCAGGTAGAAGTCCTGGCATATTATTATGCCTGAGCGCTTCTAGGATATATAAGACGTTTCGCATTTCAACCCGTAGCCGTAAAAAAAAAAATAGGCAGTTGTTCTATATCCTTTCTGGTTCATCCAGGTAGAAGTCCTGGCATGATATTATTATGCCTGAGCGCTTCTAGGATATATAACGCGTTTAGCATTTCAACCCGTAGCCGTAAAAAAAAAATTTAGGCAGTTGTTCTATATCCTTTCTGGTTCATCCAGGTAGAAGTCCTGGCATATTATTATGCCTGAGCGCTTCTGGGATATATAGTAGCAGTTTGACCCGTAGAAAAAACAAACTTAGCCGTTTATTTTGTAGGAGATATTTAAGCGTTTTTGTCTGTGTTAGCAATGTGATCGACTTTATACGCAGACCTTAATAATATGTTTTTTTCTTTGACGGCACTGAATAATTTCAGCCGAAACCTGAGCCGTACATTTGTTGAATGCCGCGCTTTTAATTAAATTTCTCGCCCTAGAATGATGACATGATGGCGCGAAAATTGACGCCTCTAACGTATTAGATGCGAAATATGATCAGAGATAAATGGAATAGTGAATGTTACAAGCTTCTGAGTATCCAGCTGAGAAGTCCCCTATCTCAGCTAGATAAACAAAATTTTTTTGGTTGCTAAGACGGTGCGGTTCGTTATGTAATTCAGCCCGGCCAAAGAAGGCCAAATCAACTCACAAATAAATCGAATGCACAATCAGAAAAATACGCGCCTCTTTGGAAATGTTGAAAACTTTTTATTCCACCTCAGACTGGCTAGCCTGCGTTGCAGCCGGCCCACGCACTCGACTAAACCATTTGTATAGTCCGTCTGCGAATTAGTGCACAAAAGCTCGTTCTAATATCCTGCAGAGTCGCAAGGACATATGTGAACGTTTCGGATAGACGGATTTCTTACGTGCTTCTTATGAGCCTCACGATTGGCCTAATTCTTACGTGTGCGTGACGGTTGGACGCAGTGACATGTCAAAATTCGCAGAAGGGAGTCGGCAAGGATCGTTTACCGTTAACAATGAAAGAGCAGTTCGAACTTTAAAGCCGTCTTCCGAACAAAAAAAATGCTTTGAGAGAATTCCTTCAAGGCCATAATTTGCTTGTAAAATTGCCGACTGGTTTCCCAGCGTCTTCCAAACGCTGCAGATGCACTGCCGCGTATTCTGCAATCTAGCCGACAGTTCTAGAATCAAAACAAATTAGGAAATCATGATATTCACAGCGAAAAAAAAGTACACACATGTAGCTATTCAGGTCCAGGCATTTCGGAGAAAACTAAAGAAACTAAGGTTATTTAGCCGCAATAAAAAAGTTTACGGCTTGAGCAGAGGTAAAAGAAAAATATTTTAATGGTAAACTGCATCTGTGATCAAATCAGCTTCATAACCTCTAAATGTGAGACTCAAAGCGGAAAAAAAAATTGCTCAGTCAAAGTGTAGAATACTCCACGCACTGCATAAACTACGCAAAAAGAGAGCAAGAAAAACCTCTGTTGCTCAAACTGACTAGTCTAAGGTCACGTTTCACACTATCACGAGCTCAGTCTCTCTTGTCACGAGCTATGAGTCATGTTTGGCCTGTCAACACTTAATTCAAATCGGACTAATCACAAACTGTGTACGAAATTAGCCAATCAAAAACGCCGACATATGTCCTTGCGACTCTGCGGGATTCGAACACGATATTGTGCACTAATTCGCAGACGCTATATACAGAAGGTTTAGAGCGTCTGCGACGCAGGCAAAGACTGGCGGAATTATCAGTTTTTCCTTTAACATTGGTTGTTCTGAGTCCGAAGTAATTTTTAAGTGACGAAAAACAAAAACCACACTAAGGTAAAAAGCCTTTTCGAGAAGCAAACGTTTACACTTTGTGCAGTCTCAGTCAGATCTCTCAGTGACAAACAAACACAGTCGAACACAGTCAGAAAAGCCCACCTTGTGCCTGCGATAAGGGATACGCAGAAGCTTGCGCAGAACGTTTTTCCGCCGAAGAGCAGGGCATGGTTTTTAGGGTCTTGGACCGGAATCCTTTACAATAATGTGAAGGTTGGTATATAAGCACTCTACATTTGTGGTATGAACAATTTTTTTACCAAAAACTCCAATTCCACGATGTTAGTTTGAAAAATTGCTTAGTTCTGTATGCGAAACGAAACGAATCAGGGTCTCTTTTCTGAAGCAGGGTCTGGGTTCGTGAAGGCCTCGGCGGCTAAACTTTACCCAAACTTTCCTAGAGTGCACCCCTCAGGTATGATGTTTTTCTTGAGATTAGTGAAGGGCCCAGTAAAACTTTGGACTGGAGCACTATGTCCTTTAGTCCCCCGTTAGAATAAATACTTTTGCCATGGCTTAACAGTCTAAGAGGCGACACCCTCTCTGTCTCGTTCGGCATAATATATGTCTGAGTGTCCTGGCCTTGAGTGTTGTTGAAGACCCACTACTGAAGCTGTCACATTGGTAAGATCCATATCTGTCTCATTTTGAAAATCAAAAACGCCGCAAGTGAGAAAGCAAGCGCGATAAATTTTGGAAATCAAGGATAAGCTGAAAAATCAAAATGAAACACTAAAACAAAAAAATAAATAAAAATCAAATAAAATGTTTTTCTTCAAATATCAGAATGAAAGAGTACAAGGCAAGAATCAAAATGATTGAATTTTATAAGTGATACTCCTCGAACACGGTAGATATCAAATTGGGCACAAGATATTTTAAGTGAAAATATTGTAAATCCCTCATGGACCATCCGGTTGGGTCTAATCTAACTCTTTTCTTTTATTTGGTTTAGTTTTTTTCTTCTTGACTTCATTCAGTGAGGGCTTTTTTAGCTATATTTCACACAAAAAGCCAGGAAGTATTCGTAAAAAGGCAATCTTCAGAATTTTTTAAGTTGCGTGAATTCGTCAATCTGTCCAAATGTCCGTTTTCCAGATACAGATGAAAGATATTTACTGATTCAATGATGATTTTTTTGTTTTGTTTTGGTTTTGTAATTTTTGTGCCTAACTTTTGCAATTAAGGGTGTTCGGGGGGTGGGGGGGAGGGGGGTTCAGTCCATCAGGGGGTGTTCCGGGGTATTCCGGGGCGTCCTTAGGGTGTTCCGGGAGTGGTCCGCGCCTGTTCCTGCTTTCAGACACAGACACCCCACGTTTCACGCTATCACGAGCTCAATCTGTTGTCTCGAGCAGTTAGCCGTGTTTGGCTTGTCAACACTTAATTCAAATCGAACTAATCACAAACTGCGTAAGAAACTAGCCAATAAAAAACGCCAACATGTGTCCTTGGGACTCTGTGGGATTCGAACATGATATTGTGCACAAATTCGCAAACGCTCTACACAGAAGGTTTAAAGCGTCTGCCGCCGACAAAGCAGCATGTAACGCCCTGGGCTCAATTGTTTCCAGTAAAACCATTACGAGTTCTATTCCCCTCCACGGGCCCCTCATGTACCATAAGGGCTAAAAAAGACCCCCCGCAGAGAATGCAAATATCCTCTATAATGACACAGAACGATCCAAGTAAAGCGTTCCACAAAGATATAATAAGACATGTCTCACTAAAATAGTTTTGGAATATTCATTCTGAAACTCATTAATAATTCATAAAGAAAATTCAAAGGAAATTAATGTTTAATGAGTGTTTGGATATCAGATGAAAAACTGCTCATTTTTGCATCCTTAATTTGTCCTTCAAAAATGATTTTGTTTGAGAAGAAATATCAAACATTCGACACAGTGTTTCATCACCAGATGAAACACCTCGAAGTTCGCCAAAAATACTCCGCTACGCGTCGTATTTTCAACTCTCTTCTCGGTGTTTCATCTGGCGATGAAACAATGCGTCTCATGTTTGATATATTACTTCCAAGCATCACGTGACATTCCTTGGATCATGACGTCACAAAACCTGTTTTCTCAAACGGGGCAAGGTCGTTAAACTTCAGCCTAAAAATACTTGTCATCAAATTGTCAGCGAAACTGTCTGGATTGTCAGATAGCCTTGCAAGGTGGATTAAAGCATTTTTATTAACAGTTATTATAGTATTTTATAAGTCATGTGACCTGTTTCTCCTTACTTCGTAATCCTTGTTCCACTTAGGCATACATGCAGGGCTGTTTCATAATGTCCGGGGAATGGGAAAAACACGGGTGCCTAAAGAATATTTGCTTCTTTTTCATTTCCTTTCCCCCATTTTAATTTGAAAACTTTGAACGTTACCGATCATTTGCAGGTCATGTGACTAATATTTCAACAATGAATATGTCACATATTGTTAAGGCCACCGAGCTAAAACTGCTTGCCAAGTTTCATGACGACTGATCAAAACAATCCGTTTCAAATGCTACTTCGCCAAATTATGCAAATTATGAGGAGAGCCATGCCTTAACATGCCCGAGTCTTAAGTGTTTGGTTGTAGAATTGGACAAGAACAAACGATCAGGGTATTGAAGACTTGTATTTTTGCGTTTTTATGTGGCTGCTCGCAATCATAAAACGAATTACAGACTTTGAATCCGTTTCGGTAGTCGCATTAACGGGGTTCCACTGCACCTAGGAGCGCGTAAAGAGAATGAATTCACTTCAAGTTTCCGCGCTTAAAGTTGATGTTTCACGGGAAGATTCGCAACGACGATTTTAAGCGCAACACAGCGTTGTAATGTCAAAACAATGCTGCAACGCTGTGTTGCGCTAAAAACTGTTGCGAATAATCTCTTGTAAGGATATCTTAAGGTCTTAGGAACAGAACCGTGAGAAAAAAATGACTGCTCCTCAGTCTAATGTGATGACCATTTCTTGGCAGATCTGGGCTGTAAAACACCGGGCTAACGATGGCTTTTAGAAGACAGATTACTAGGCTCACAATCCACTGTAACAGATGTCGCATGGAGCTTGCTAAAAGAGAGATGCTTATGCTGGCCACAATTCCACCGTCACATCTACACCTTGCTGTGAGACAAGAAAGAGAAGAAGACGCATTTGAAAAGCTCAACAAGGTGGAAAATCCAAAGGGTGGAAAAAGCGCTCAATATTGTCCTTACATAGTTTTTTGCCGACAGTGTGGAATGCACGTGGGTAATGTTACGATATTATCGTCAAAACAGTTTGTCTGCTATAAAATAGACAACATATACCTTGTAAACAACGGTGAAGAGATTCGAGCGAAGAAACTGTCCAAAATACGTTCAAGACTTGAAGAGGAGTGTTGCATTGAAGTTGTAAATGTGTCTTCTGCAATATGTCAGTTCCAGCTCCAACCAAGCGAGCCAATGATTTACTGCGACACCTGGGGGTTTTCACACACATCTCAAGAAATCGCTTTTTTAACCCAACAGTGTCCGCGGGACTATCAGCGGGAACTATTTCTCTCCGTCATGCGCAGAAACACCCTGGTCTGCTTACCCACGGGTTCGGGAAAAACCTTGGTGGCAGCGATGGCACTGAGTTGTATGAAGAAACTCAACCCAAACAAGTTAATGGTGTTCCTCGTTGACCGAGTCCCACTGGTTTACCAACAGAGTGAATATATCAAGTCTCAGGTGCCCGAGTTAAGAGTGAGAACGCTGGTCGGTGAAATGGAACCGCCACAGGAGAAAGCCGTCCATCAAGCGTTAGCAGATCAGGAAGTTGATGTTTTGGTCCTAACACATCAGATTTTTCTAAATTTTTTGGCTATGGAGAAAAACCCGATCATTCGTTTATCTGATATATCAGTCTTGGTTTTCGACGAGGCACACCATTGCCGGGGAAGACACCAGTATAATCAGATCATGGAATACTATCACGTTACACCAAACAAGTTTAAACCTATTGTTCTGGGTTTAACGGCGTCACCAGCTGGAGAAGTAACAGTTGAAAGGACCACAGATCGACTTAAAGAATTGCTTGATAACCTCAGCTGTGAAGTTTCTACCCCCATTGAGTCAAACGACCTTGCAGAAAATGTAAACAACCCAGATACATTGTACTGCGCAGTGCCTGAAACGAACACTCGCCAAGTTGTCCTCCTGCAAATAATTCAAGAGCATATTCAGTACATGAAGACCACATATTTAGACGACGCACATAGGTGGCAACGGTTTGCTGGGTTCCCTTTGTTTTCGTCTAATTTTAGAGGAGCACTAAGACGACTGAATGACAGTTGTTATGGTGACAAGAGCAAAACCAAAGCAGTTATAGCTGGTGAACATATAATGCAGATGCTTAGTATTGTAGATGTCTGCGAGGTTCTTGGCTGTAAGCGTGCAATGGAATGCCTCAGAGAATGTGTGCATAACATCACCCATGAACTTTCTCCAAAGGGCAGTGCTTTGTCGAAGATGGTTAGAGAAGACGCGACTTTTCGAGATCTTCGAGGATTAGCGGACAGTTCGGTTGACGAAGAGTCACCAATATCGGACCGGTACAATATCCTTGTGGCGCACATTAAGCAATTTGTGTGCCAAGTGCAACAGGATGTAAGTTCAAGGGGTATTGTTTTTGTTAGCATGCGCAAAACAGCTTATAAGCTGTGTGAGCAGATCAGAATGCTTCCCGAGGTGCCTGAAACGTTGAACCCGAAAGTTTTTGTGGGCCACGGTCAGGGAAGTTATGACGGGATGGCTTGGGCTGATGAACAAAAAGTGCTGTTAGAATGCTTTAAAACAGGCCAGATAAAACTGCTTATCAGCACCAGTGTTCTGGAGGAAGGCCTTGATGTGCCTGAATGTAACTTGGTCATCCGATTTGAAGGGGCGGCTACATTGCGAGCACTCGTTCAAACAAGAGGGCGTGCGTCTCGTCGCCCTGGCAGCAAGTTTGTAGTGATTTGTAATGAAAGGCAAAAACAAGAAGCTGAGGATGTAGTTCTGAAAGAAAGGTACATGGAGGAAGCGATAAGACATCTCATGGAGACCAACAGGCAAAAATTGCAGTCAGAAGATTTTGGATGTAAAGTGAAACGTCTCGATTCTTTTGTCCCCACAAGTGATGAGACCGTTGAAGTTGCAAACAAGAAGTATAATCCGCAAGTAAGTATTTCAGTGCACCATCTTGGAACTCTAAAGCATCAACAACACGTTGTAGAATTTTTGGAACAAAAGTTTGAAGTTATGGCAATGAAAACAAGCACGCCTTCCTCATCGGGCAGTGAAGGAAGCAGAAGGAAGGTTTTAAGGTTTGACCTGCAGCCTAACGAAGACGGAAATTGTAAAGAATTCAGATCCAAGGAAGGTTTCATCTGTCATGTGACAGAGGAGTGGTGTTCGTACCTGACGAAACCTGAAGAGGAGCCACTTCCAGTTTGGCTCAAGGCATCGTTCACCAAGAAACGTCACAAGGCAGAAGACACTTTTCATTCGCTGAGGGCAAATTCTTTGTTTCTCGGAACGTTCCTCACTCGGTGTCATTTTCGATATCAGTGGCCCTCGGAACCCACCCTGAAGAACGTTCTGATTTACTTTGATCACAGTCTCAAGACATTGACGATAGGATTTAAGGCTTATAAGCTGGAACTCCGATATGAAGAACTTGAAGACTTTATAATCGTCAACAGTGACGTGGCGTCTGGTGTAATCAAATTGTTTCTTACCATAAAGCACCCACCTCGACTGTTCCAATCTGTTGATCACCCTTTTCTGGACGTTGGTGGTGACAACGAGCAGGGCCCACATGAAAATGACGATAACAACTTTCTCCAAGTTGATGTTGATGACATATGTAGTGAATTGTCGGATGACGGGACTGAATCAGAATCCAACACTTTTTCGACTGATGAAGAGTACCCAGATCCAAACATGAACCCTCCCTTACGTCGCAAAAACAAATTTGACAAGATTGCCTGGGAAAGAGTTCCTGATATCTTGAACAGCGAAAAAGCTTGGGCCCATTGCTATACGTACTGTTTTGTACTACCTTGCAATGAATCTTCCCAGATCATTCACTTGTTGTCCAGAATCCAGAATCGATTCAACAAAAAGGCATTTTATTGTCGCGTGAAGGAGAGCTTTGGCAGGTTTCCAGTTACAGATATTCCCCCTAATTTGCCATTTGATGTGAAGTATGCGTCACAGATGGTTATTTCGCGGCATCCAGTAATGCGTGGAAAGATGTCTTCGACGTTCACAGAACTTTTGCTAAACAAGCCTACCAGTGTAGTGTGCGCAGCACTTGAGCAGTTGAAAAATGCTCTGGAACAAGATTCATTCTGTGATCCCGAAATGGCCTTCAAGACATTTCTAGGCCAAAACAACCCTTCTGCTTCCGGGTTTCAAAACAGGCCCATCCCAGGTCACTGTGCTCTAATAAAACGTGCAGTCATCACCCCAACAAGACTACTGCTGTACCCACCGGAAGTTATGGTGAAAAATCGCGTACTCAGACAGTACGAAACGGAGAGTTTCCTGTGTGTCAGTGTACGTGATGAGGACCTTTCCAAACTCTCTGCAGGAGGAGGAAGCCTGAATCCACTGCTAGACGGCATTAACCGTATCCTGGATGAAGGACTGAACATAGCTGCTCAACGGTTTCAGTTTTTGGGGTCATCAAACAGTCAGCTCCGTAACCATAGCTGCTGGTTTGTCGGGCCAAAGTTTGAACCAGACATCATACGAAGGTGGATGGGAGACTTCAGTCATATCAAGTACGTCCGAGATTTATGTTGTGCTAAAAATGTATGAAGCGATAAAACTGGGGCATCAGAGGCAATTATGAAAACTAAGTAAGCCTAAAGCTGTTAAAAACGATACAATAGACGGCTTTAATAGCCTGATTATTGGTTAAACATTAGTTCATTCTGAATTTAAGCAAGACAGAGAAATCGTCTAGTTGAGCCACTTTGTGTAAGGCTCTATTCGAAAAAAACAGATACGTAGCTGTTATTTTGAAAGTTTCAAAAGGAAATTCTAAGAGTTCGGCTTCGTTTCGATTTCTTGTTCACTAGTCTGGGTGGAATGGAGAAAATGTAATGCAACTTTATCAACCAAATTATGCCTCCTAAAACTCTTTTGTCCCGAACCATCGTCCCTGTCCCTTATGCAAATTAAGGCATCTGAGCCTTTCTGGGTATGTTTTTTGTTTCTCTTCAATTCAAGGTGTGTGGCTTCATACGTGGCTCGCATGGGTCAGTGTTTTTCTACCTCTATAGACTCCGTGGGCATTGGTATCAGCGAAGGTACCCTAAGCGAGGAAGAGGACGACGTCAAGACAGTTGACCAGAAATACTGTTTTTCTGATGGAATTGGCAGAATATCCGAAGAACTTGCCGCAGAGGTAAGACTATAAGTAGACATTGCTCCATGTACCCCTTAGAAGGTCTACCTCGCTTGTCATCGTCTCTCGTACCATGAGCGACATATTTGCTCCTTCAGCCTGGTGCATGGTAGAAGGGGTGGCCCTTGTTTACCTGGAAACGGCGAAGCAGTTGTTTGAAGCTGTCATTTTTTTAGGTTTGGTTTGACCCCACGTCTCTCCGCACGGTTTGTATTTCGGGCTTATTTCCTTAGGGTTTCTTTTTAAAATCTATTTAACTCATACGTGAGTCATCTAGAAAACGTTAATTGTCTTCGGAACGTATTTTAAGTATTTTTGACCATGCAACTTTAAAAAATTATATCTCTGCTGTTATTGACAGTTCCTTATCAAACTATACCTCATTGGAAAGGGCAAAGATCAAACTTGCTGAAAAAAATATTTCCGTCTCAGGGAACCCATAATATTTCGCACAAAAAATATAAACAAGGCATATTTCTAGAAAATTATTTCTAAAAAATTTTAAGAGTGTAATTTTGCCAGAAAAGTTGTATATTTTATGTGATACAGTGCAAATAATTTTTTTTCTTCCTGGCACTTGGCACATAATTGGCTAAATCTATTAACTTCCTGTGGGCCAAATTTTGAGGGATTAGGAAGTAACACAATTTTTTGCGAGTGTTGGTCGCGTGTTCGACCAAAACTGGTCGAAATGTTGGTGTTCCGATGACAATGAGAGGTTGCAGAAATTCTGCCCACCCGCACATCAATAAAAAAAAGAAGAGAGAGAAGGAAAAGCCATCGTGACTTTCGTCAAATATTCATCTTTTGTTTTTGTTTATTGTAGGTTGTCCGGAAAATCGCCAAGCCGTTCAAACCATCTGCCTTTCAAATTCGATTTTCTGGCTGTAAAGGTGTCCTTGCAGTAGATCCGAGACTTCCAGGCAAACAGGCCATTTTCCGTCCAAGCATGTGCAAATTTGAGAGTTTCCATCGCAGACTTGAAGTATTGCAGACGTCTCGACCCCAGGTCGTTTATCTCAACCACCAGGTGATTATGCTTCTTTCCAACCAGGGTGTGCCAGATGATGTTTTTGTTCGACTGCAGAGCAACATGTTGGAGAAGCTAGCAGGTAATTATATATAAGCTGCTTCCAAAGAGAAAGGTGAATAATTATACTCAATAAGCGTAATTTTAAATGCGTTTTAACGATGGTGATTGTTACAACATTATTAATAATGATTGAACAATGCTGAGATCTAAAGTCACGTTAATCGCAAACGGCAAACTTTAAATTCAAGTTGAACATTTCTCAAAAGGGAAAATTAGCAGATAAAAACAGCTCAAAACAGTTCGTATGGATAAAACTGGCGACAACTGCTATTTTTCTTGTAGAAGTAATTAACAGCAAAGAACAGGAAAAGAGAAAAATTTGGTCACGTGGTACAAATTCACGTTTGCCGTTTGCCGTAAGCGTGACTCTTAACAGAGAGGTTAAGCATCACGTTTACGTCAAACGGCAAACGCGAATTTGTACCACGTGACCAAGTTTCTCCTTCACTTGTCGTTCACTGTTCACTACTTCTACACATAAAGTAGTTTAATTCACGCAATTTTTTATCCAGAAGAATTTTTGGAGTTGCGTTTATCTGCTCATTTTCTATTTTGAGAAATTCTCAACTTGAATCTGGCGTTTGTCGTTAGCCGTGTACTTGAAGCTTTAACTCTCTAATCTCGCTCCTGACTGTATCCGTGAAAAGAAGTCCTTTTTGTCGTAATTTTCTTACAGGAATGCTGGTTAATGAAAATGACGCTATCGAGATGCTAATTACTGGAGCCAAAACAGGCGTGTCTTATAAAAGTTTATCAAGCTCGGGAATACCGCTGACAACGGAGCCGTTCTTTAAATCCCTGCTTGTTGCTATGTATAGAAATCACATCCACGAGCTACTCTCCCGATCCCGAATCCTTCTGCCACCAGAGGAGGCACGTTTGATGATGGGTGTAATGGACGAGCGTGGTGTACTAAAACCAGGACAGGTTTGTTGCTTTCTTTGCAACTTTTGTTGAGATATTTCTAGCAAGTGCGAGAATTTATTGCATTTTCCTGATTCAGTCATACAGTCAATTTAGAAAAAATCTCGATTTGCTTGAACAGGGGCCGCGAGGAATCGGTAGGTAATGATGACGTTTCTATTGTTTGCTTCCGCAAGTACGAAATGGTTAGGATGACGTTAAGACAGAAATTCCCTAAGGGACCGCTTAGGTAGATTTTGTGACATTTATAGTGCAGTCAGAGGTAATGCAGTCATACTTCGATACTCTTTTGCGTTACGTGTTATCAGTGACACTCTTTGGAGCAGTTGTTTTGAAAGTTATGGACCAAAAGACACTCGTTAAGCGCAGATGAAGTTATAAGGTGCGTATAACTGTGTGTATATAAAAACACTTGAAGAGTTTGCCAGACACTAGTTCACAAATCTTTCTCTCTCTTTGACTGGAATAAGACTCAAACCCAAACAAGCAAGACGAGTGAAAAACGGCTAGTTTATCACAAGCAGAACGGTGGATGATTACAGAAATTCGCCGACAATCAAATTCTGTGCTAACTTATTCCCTGCTCACAGATGTCCTTCCGCTATATGCTATAAAGATTAAACTAAGAATAGAATGCGCGAGCGTGAATTGATCAAACGTCCTTTTAATTTCTAAGGCTTACTTTCCGGCAAATATGAATGTAAAAAGTGAAAGAGAAATAGCGAAAAATTCAACTTCTAATTAAATCTTTTCCTTTGGTTTAGAATGAACTGTTCTCGAAACTGAGAATGTTTTGATCAAATTAAGCGGTGTAAATCGAACTGAAACTGTACATGGAACCTCGCATTTCCTGTATTAATCTCACTTATTGTATGGAATATGTGTGAAAATCTTCATTATGAATCGGTATATTTCAAAGAGCTACGCAACGAGCAAGAATACTATTGACCGATAATATACAGAGCGGGGGCAGCTGTAGTGTCAACTATTACTAGTTTGATAAATAGAGGATATTACATGGCCGCGCGGAGATACGAAATTTCTCTTCGAGTGTTAAGAAATATTTCACGAGTGCGCGCAGCGAACGATGCGCGTGAGATATTTTTTCAACACGAGGAGAAATTTCGTATCTCCAAGCGGCCATATAATGTTCTATTTATTGCCCCCGCAGTGATTTCGCCCAGAAGGCGAAATCCCGAGGAGGCACTCTAATAACTCGCGTGTATATTAAGTAAAGTACTTACAGTTGAAATATACAGTCATACAGTCAATATAGAGAAAACTCTCGATTTGCTTGAACAGGGGCCGCGAGGAATCTGTAGGTAATGGTGACGTTTCTATTATTTGCGCCCGCGAGTACGAAATGGGTAGGATGACGTAAAACAAAAAATCTCGAAGGACCACTTACAATAGGTAGATTTTGTGACATTAATTGTGCAGTCAGGCATCGATACTCTTCTGCGTTAAGTGTTATCAGTGACATTCTGTGGAGCAGTTGTTATGAAACTTATGGACCAAAAGACACTCCTTAAGCGTAGATGAAGTTATAAGGTGCGTATAACAGTGTATATTTTAACACCAAGTGAGTTTTGCCAGACACAAGTTCACAAGTCTTTGATTGGAAACCTCGCCAGACATTCTCTCTCTTTCTTTGACCGGAGTAAGACTCGGCCCCAAACAAGCAAGACAAGTGAATGAATCAACGACTAGCTTATCACTAGCAGAACGATGGACGATTACAGAAATTCGCCGATCATCAAATTCTGTGCTGACTTATTCCCTGCTCACAGATGTCCTTCCGCTATAAAGTTTAAAATAAGACTAGAATGCGCGAGCGTGATTTGATCAAACGTGCTTTTAATTTCTAAGGCTTACTTTCCGGCAAATATAGTGAACTAAATGTAAAAATTGAAATTGAAATAGCGAAAAATTAAACTTCTAATTTATTTTCTCAAGGTTTAGAACAAACTATTCTCGAAACTGAGAATGTTTTGATCAAAGCTGTGTAAATCGAACCGAAACTGTGCATGGAACCTTGCGTTTCCTGAATTTATCTCACCTATAATTGTATGGAATATGTGTGAATATCTTCATTATGAAATCGGTATATTTCAAAGAGCTACACAACGAGCAAGAATACTATTGCCCGACAATATACAGAGCGGGGGCAGCTGTAGTGTCAACTATTACTAGTTATATAAACACCAATGAACTACCAATCCATTTCACTTTAATAGTTTTTTGGTGTCAAAGGCAAGATTTATTATGTATAGCCGTAGCAAAGGTGATATTTTCACATGTGAAGATAACATGTTATTTTCACATGTGAAGATATCAAGTTTTCGCGCGAAAGCTCACCTGGTATTTCATTGGTGTTTATATAATAATAAGCTTCATGTATCAACAGAACTCACACGTATTTCAACGTATATTTATTAAATTAGGTTTACGTGCAGTATTCTGAAATTTCCACTGGTGTAGACCGCGAGGACCAGTTCGACATGAGGAAGAAACGTGTTGTTACGGGCCCTTTAGTAGTGACTAGGAATCCATGCCTGCATCCAGGAGATGTTCGCCAACTTGAGGCTGTTGACTTCCTCGAACTTAGCCATCTAGTGGACTGTGTGGTTTTCCCTCGATGTGGAGCAAGACCTCACTGTAATGAAATGGCAGGTAGGGATTGTGGGTCAAAAGTAGTAGCAGGGATGTGGGGACGGGGTTGTTTTTTTTTTTAAAGAATGGAAGTTCTTCCATCTTTCGTTACTCTTCCCTTGAGTATTTCTTCATACTGAGACAGTGTGTTTGAAGCCTCCCCGAAAAAAAGTTTGTTGGTAGTAATTACGGACCCTTTACTGCCCCAAGGCATCTATTGTTCCGTCTCCGCACAAGTTCGCTTCATTTTTGTCCCTTTTGCACGTTAACTAAAAAATTGCGGCTACTAAATGAAAACTTACAGCATAAAACCTGAAAAAGGTCATTTTCGTAAAAGGATCGGTGCGAACTACTCAAGACATTTTTGGCCTATAAGCAGCCAAGACGTCGTATATGAGATCTTCGAGTACCAGCTTTGGTCGAAATTGGACTGAGTGGTTTACATAAAGTTTAATCGTTGTGTTTCTGGTCTTTTATGGCGATAAATATATCATTCCAATACAGGCAGATTATTTGGAGCAAATGTCACCTTGTTGAGGATACTATTTTGATCAGTTCTTTAATTTGTTTTATTAAAAACAATCAACGAAAAAAAAAGTAATAAGTATTTTGATCGCAAGGTACATGTCAGGGTTAAAAAGAGTGCTCATTCCAATTTTAGGTGGTGATTTGGATGGGGATCTCTACTTCGTGTGTTGGAACAAAGACTTGTTACTAAGGAAACCAAATTTCCCCCCAATGGATTACCAAGCCCTGGAGAAGCAGCAACAAACAGAACCAATCACAGCCGCCGATATGACTAAGTTTGTGGTCAACTACATTCGGTGTGATCAGTTAGGAGTGATTGACAACGTTCATAAAGCGTTAGCAGACCGGGAAAATGATGGTGTTGAATCTGAAGTTTGTCTACATTTAGCAGAGATACATTCTTTAGCAGTGGATGCGCCTAAAACAGGCAAGTGGCCCAAAATGCAGGGCATAGGGAAGATTAAGGCATGCCCTGATTTTATGATGAAGCGTGATAAGCCTAGTTACCCATCAGACAAGGTTTTAGGAGAGCTCTACCGTCGCTGTCGAAAGTTTCAAGACGCAGCATCTGAGAAGTTTAACCAGAAAATGCGAATCGACAAGTCTTTACTCCTGCAAGGTTACGATAGGTATATTGAAGGAGCCAGAGAGTCATACCAGAAGTACCGAGAAAAAATGCGGGCTCTAATGAGTTTATACGGCATTGAATCGGAGGCCGAAGTATTCACTGGATGCTTTTTAAAGCTTCGAAATCGCTTGAGTAAAGAGAAAACAGAGATTGCAGAAATTGTTGGCTGCATCCTCTTCGAGATGCGGTTGGATTTCCGGACCCAGTTCTTCCACGAATTCAATGTGAATGGTCAGCATTTCTTGGAAAATGAGGATATCACAGATGAGATGCTTCTCAAAGCTTCAGCCTGGTACAATGTGGCCTACACCCATGCTCATGACCAGGCAAATGAATCAGAACCAGGTCACCAGAAGCGTTTGCTCGGTTTCCCATGGTTTGTTAATGACATCATGCTTGCTATCAAAAACCTCAAACAACCGCCACACTTCTCCCAGAGCCTGAACGTTAATACAACCGTAGGAGAGAGCTTGGCCAGACTGTTTAAAGAAGAAAAGACCTGGATACTTGAACAGCTTTTAGAAAGAGAAGGAACCAAAAAGTCGATTGCGCGGCATCTAAAGGGCGTTATACCACAACATTCGATGATTGTGACTGGTCCCTCAGCCACGCTTCTATTTCACGAAAATTCAGACCTGGATATCTGCCTCTTACCACAGAGTACCCAGAAATTGCATGGTGTTCCTGTTATTTCACAGGAAATGTATCACAATACACCATTCCTCTCGGGCCTTCTGGAAGAATGTAACACGTCGCAACGGTCATTTGATCCAATTGACTCAGCTGAAAAGCTTGCACATCCCTCTAAAGTGAATGACATCCCTGTTAAAGACCAAGTGAAATCACTCGAGAGGCTGATACCACACCTAAAAGAGACTCAGGTGCAAAAAGGCGAACATGGGTATCCTAAACATCTATTTCATAAAGTTCGCCTTGTCGGCAAAAAGACGTTTCCGGTAAGGATACTCTTTCTGTTATTACAATCAAACATTCCATAAGCGAGCACTCTAAACACCCAGCCTAGCTGGTCACAGACACAGTCACCACAGTCACAATGAGATAAAGTCTGAATAACCTTATTTTGAATTATCTCAGCCTTTCTGGAATCAGATGTTCAGATGTTAAGAATTGGAAGCCGAATAATGCTACCGAATTGATAAATCACTAACCAGGAGATACCGGTTTTAGCTTCCCTAAGTCGTCCATTTTTCGCTATTATCGTTATGAACAAAGGGACTTGATGTCTCCAGGTAATGCTCTTAAGTAGAACAAAATATGTGTAAATCTTTAATCCTACTGGAGCTTCCTACAAAATCCTAGCTACTGACTTACTTTTTATTTTTATTTTTTTAGGTCCTTGTTTGCAAGCATCCCACAGGGAGCTTGTTAAATGAAACCAAATGCTCTCCCAATCTCGTTTGCGATTTGATTGCTTCTCCAAACAGTTTGCCAATTGCAGTTCTTTTGTCAAGCTACATAAAGTCCTTTCCTCATCTCTTGTTAGTTCTCCGTGTCATTCACCGTTGGTGTTATGTGACAGGCCTGTCAAGAAGCAAAGCTGGTGCTGGAAACACGTCGAATCTAATGGCCTCCGTGCTTCTATTTCAGTGCATGCGCAAGGGGCAAATTCAAAATTTCAACGAAGGTCACATTTCCTCACAGATATGTAAACTTGTTCGAGGAGCGATGACAGAAAGTGACATGCACGTGGAATGGGAAAAAGTAATTCGCCTTCTTGGTGACGATGCTGGTGAAAACGCAAATAGCACACGCCTCCCAACTCCCAAACTTGGTGAAATGCTCATGAGGTTTTTTAAAGCGCACAAGTCGTTTTTTGAAGAAGAGGTTCCAGATCCCTTGGCTCGTATCTTGCGCGCACGTAAATTTGCAGATCTGTTGGACAAGGATCACGTGAACTTGGTGAAGGAACATATGCGCCGTGCTTATCAGCTGTTAGCACTGTATGGTGATGTGCAAATAATGTTGGCCATAAGTGGTTCTGAAGATTACAACGTGATTTACCTATCGCCTCTCCTTTCTTCCTTCTTCGCCGGTGTCGAGAAAAGTAAAGCTCTAGAAATCACGAGGAAGACTAGAGCAAGGAGTGTCGTTATCCGTCCCAAGCTCCCGCGATCACGTAATTCAGCTATCGTAGAGGTGAAGGGAAGTGAACCTACGATTCGCGCAGTAGAAGAAGAGCTCGACAGAATGGAAAAACAGGCATCACGTGACCGTGTATCACTGATGAGCGGCTGTTTCGTGGAAGATGCTAGTGTTGTCTTATATGAAGAGAGTCGACATGAAAATGATCTCGTCTCACTGACACCGTATGATGGGCCGTGTCATCAGAAACATGATAACCTTGCGCGTCATGTAGCCTCGGTAGTCAGTCGTACTTTCAACAACGAGTATCCGCTCCGACGATTCACAGAGAAATTCTTCCAGCAACTTAAGGTATGTCAACCTATTACTATTTGATGTTCCCACAGATCCCTCACAGCGATAAAAATTTAATTAAGGATCTATTCATAAGAAATATACTTGCTGAAATCGCCTCCCGATTAGCTCAATTGGATCAGCGCCGGCCGTCTTCTGAGCTGACGACCGCTGGTCGATCAAACCCGGACCGGACCAAGACTCAGAGTCTTAAAATAACTGGACTACGAGCAGTCTCTCTTTTTACTTGGTCCACAAAGCGACACGTGCGTGACTGAAGGCGCGAGACGGGAGAGGCACGAAAAAAGAGGAGACTACCACCAAAGCCAGAGAAAATGGTCTTTCACAGTCTATTGATTTTTTTGCAGAAAACCGCAATCTAATTAACTGTATCCAATATTGCAAAAGTGTTGACAAGCCAAGCACGTGAAAAGTGACCTAAGAGTTTGCTTGAACAACAACAGAGATTTTCCTTCTCTTCTTTTTAACGCGTAGGTTATTCAGTGCATTAGAGTAAATTTTAACCTAATTGAGTCAGTCAAGATCATTCGTTGGGAGCCGATTTTGTTCTTGAGATAAGCGAGTCTTTGGACAGGACTATACAGCGGTGTCCTGTAGTTAATCCGTTGGCAATTACTTTCGTTTTAGCTTTGATAAAGAGTATAAGAGTCTTCCAGTCTATGCGACTTTCTGTTACAAGTTCTAAAGCAAGACTGCCGTTTTGGAACTAAAGCGTTCCTCGTCGGTTGCTACTATGGTTAAGTCTTAGTGAAGAGAGGCTTTGAGCATCTGGATTGCAATCACGTCACGTCCCGTGATGAGACCTTCTAATGCTTCTCTTTGCTTTGTATGTAATGTTTCTATTTTCTAGAAACGTGACAAACACTCAGCAGTGCTTCAACCATCATCATCTTGTCAACGTTTCCGAGTATGGACAATCTTTTGTCAACGCTTCAAGCCTCAGTCAATCGTATTTTGCTTTGTGAGGCCAATGCGTAATTCGTTTGTTCTGGCTATGGAAGCAGTCTCTCTTTTTTCTAATTGGGCTGCCGCTCTCGTTTCTCGCGTCTCGCGACCACGACGCTCGCGCGCGCGTGCACTTCCCTCACTAAATCTGAAGAAAAAGAGAGACTGCTTGCAGTCTGATTAAATATTTGGGGAGAAAGCGTTGCCTTCTTAAAGACATCTTGCAAACAGTTAGACTTTCTAGTCTTCTCTGATAAGAACAATAAATCGTAGGGCCCGTCTCACACCCCTTATACGTTTTAATTCTATGGGACGTATAAGAAGACACTGTTCGTAAAGAGTAAGAGATCTAGTAGGTGGGTGGTCTATCTTTCATGGTGGGAGGTACTGTTACGGGCTCGCAGTTATTGACGGTGTTGCGGTGACCCTCCCAAGAATTGGCGAATATAACTATATAATAGACAAACAAAATAGATTTATCTAAGCTTACACTTATAAACATCTGATATCTATCCATGAGTTTATTTAAAATACGCTTAGTTTACGACGAAAAAGAATTTATCCTCGTGTTATATCACCATTTCCATGTGTTATTTCAGGTAGTTGAAAGAGATTTTGATTCCCAGATTCATGGTCGTCTTGAATTTGCTGTTCACTTTGGGCGAGTTTACTTGTTTAGTGTACCACACTTGTTGCTGGAAGACGGTGAGCCCATCTCCATTGCAATGCTCAGGACGAACAAAAGGAAGACTGTTAAGCCAACCAGCGAGCCACATGTGCTTCCTAGAGAAGTGTCCTTCGTCGACGAACAGGAGGAACGCGCTCGTAGAAGAAAACGACGACCAAAACAGACTATTTCCTGTAAAAGCAACAGAAAAAAGCGAAAGCGCGGAAATCCTTCGAGAAGCGCGTTTTACACTTCTGTTCATTTCCCAGACAGCGTAAAGAAGTTTCTTCACAAATATAAATTTTTTCCCGACAACAACGTGATAGAGAAATACACAGTGGATATTTGTCCAAGTACTGAAGATATTGAGTTTTATGTTCGACTTGACAACCAACTTCGTTTCATCGACATCAAGTTTCCAAATCTCCGCTGGTGTATGGTTGATTTAAAACGAACCTGGAAAGCATGCTCAAATCATGACGTCAGGGAAGGTGCCCAAGCAGTTGGTGGCGTAATGTACCCAAAAGGTCACGTGACCCAGTGTGACACTCGCGCGAGTGATGACATCATCCTAGATGGTTTGGAGACGGATATACGCTTTCTTTTGCACTCGCGTTATGAAATGTCGCAGCAAGACATCCGGGATACAAAGTATGCGCAGTATCAGCATGTGCTTCGATCGGGAAGTGAAATGCAGTCTGAAAAGCCTTTTGTCGTCAAAGAAGATCAGTGGAAAGATGTTCGACTAATTCGTTTCATCAAATCAACAAAATTCAAACGAGATTCAGCAAAAAGGGATTTTATGTCGAACTTGACGGTTTACCTTGACGAAGTAACGGAATACTCGAGACCATCTCATCAAGTAGGCGTTTTCCAGAAAGAGATCACTCGATGGGAATTGTCTATAGAAGCAGCGCTTCCAGAAGATCTAACCGAAAAAGAAACAGTCAAAAGATTTTTGCATGAACTCTGGGAATATTCGTTTTCCTTATCTTCCTTTCTCTCGGCTTAAAACGATTTCAAATTTTTTGATAATTATGTACGTTAATCCTACATTCTAAAATTTTCAACTATTTCGAGGTATTCTCTTGTATCTTCGAAATTCAACATCCATGTTCCCTTGGGGGAGCAAGGGAACTTTGCCACCCAGTACTAGGGGAAAAGGAGTACCTTAAAGTTTTAGGGGACTAAAGAACGGTTGACCTTTTCTAGGAACATTGCAAGGCCTTTTTCTTGGAAAACATATAACTTAAAAGTTATCTAGGGAGCTGAAAAGGGAGAAAGTACTCTAAAAAAGTGTCTTCAAATATTCCCAAATGATTATCCTAAATATATTTCAAAATGATTTCGCCGCTTACTTATTATATTTATTGTCTTAGGTTAGGGAGGGAGCTCATGTAATGGGCCCGCACAGTTTCCTTTGAGCTTCCTAGCCGCAAAAATACCTCTAATTCTCACAACACTCAGTCTTACAGCCATGTTTCTTTTATTTTATTTCTTTTTTTTTTTTCCAAACGATGTTAATTAGAATTCCGGCTGCCGTATTTGATTTAGAAATATGGACGATAATCAACCTGCACGAGATTCACGCAAAGAAGGCACATTTTATTTTTACAATTTTTTAATAGCTTTAATTTGTTGATTTTTTAAAGCCTTATTTCCTGATGATTATGTTACCGTGCATAAATAAAGTGATACAATTACAATTATTAGGAGGACTGAAAAATAAATCTAATCTTATTGTCAAGCAATAAAACCAATTCTGTTTAATGTCGGCATCGTTTTGGAGACAACGGGTTTTGGAAATTAAAAATGAGTAATTGATTCTGGTTGTATTGATCATGATTTATCAAAGTTAAAGTTTTCTCGAAAAAACTACTGAAAATACCTGCATTTACCAAGTCAAACGCCGCAAGGGGGAGCAAAATTGGAATTCGGGTTATCTCGGTCCATCAAAGTGCTTCCAAAAATTGGAAAATGTCACCTACCTTAAGGGACTAGTTGGGTTTCATTGCTTTTAGGTGGGCATTTAAATAAATCACTGACTCCGCTATGTATCCTATCACCAGTTTATTGATTACATTATGACATTAGTGCACGATAAAGATAAAGGATTTAATCGCGGTTAAATGTGATATCGTCGTCGCTTGTGCATATAGCAGTTCCGGGTACCCATAGCCTTTTTATTTTTTTCTTCAAAAATGATTGTTTCATTCATCTCGGATTTTACTTTCTACCTTCGGTCATTATTTAGGCGTGATGAAGGACTCCTATAATTTTTTCAGTTTGATCCAAAAATAGTGAAAGAAAGTCGGAATGAGAATATTTCACGTTTTTGCCTTACAAAGGTTAACGAAAACGGAAAATTCCAATAAAAAAAACTTAAAATAGCACAATTTACAATATCAACATGATAAGTACACTGTCTGTTTTGTCTACCATTACTGCCGGTTTAATGTTTAATTTATTTCCTTTATGATTCACGAACTTATTATTTTTGCTTGTGACGGAGTACACAGTGCGGTCATTCAAATTTTGGACTGGTCTGAACTTGTCGCACATAAACGGACCATAATAATGTGCTTCAAGTTTCCTGAACTTTTCAGGCTAGAACACAAAAATAAGCAAAATTAATTAGTTTATTAACGATCCATCATTTGTTTTGAACCAGGCGGTGTGCGCACTACGATCGCTAAGCATCATGGGCGGTATTCAAAATCTGATCATTTGTGTCAAGATGGCGTGGAGTGAACATCTCGACTGCGGAGTGAATATTCGTTAATTACGCTGTAGATATATACGATTTTGCTTTGAATGTCCTCCGGAAGCCCTTGAAAAAGAAAGTCTGTCCAATTCTCAGGGAAAAAACAGTCTCATTCCGTTGATAAGTGTATTCTGGTGTATTTTGTTCGTAATCAATTGCATCCTGTTTGCAACTGACCGAGAAAAGTCGGCACAGAAACGCTTTGTTCAATGCTTCAATCATGAAAAGCACTGGAGGTAAGACCCGCGGTTCGCCGAAAATTTTTGAATTCACCGTGAAATCAGTGCAACTAGTGCTAAGAGGTACTGATGTGCATAGCTGTGATATACTCATAAGATACTAGGAGCTTCTTCAGAATACCCGGCAACGGTATTTAAACACAGTGAGCTTATTTTGTTTTGTCATTCAGCATTGCAAGATGTTCACTTGCTAGCTGTAATAAGAGAATCGAAGTTGAGGGGGTCATCGTTTCGAGGACTTGTTTCTCTGTTGGTACCAAGTCTGCATTTCGTTTTGCTTAACATCTGTATTTATCATCACATGAAGACAAGTAAATAAAGTAAAGAGTATTTGTGTACAGTGAACTTGTGTCCTCTTTATAGATAATATAATATTGAGCATCTTTATTTGCCATATTTTTCTATTGGTATGAGTCATAGAATGTCTTATAACTGGATTGAAACTGAAAATGGCATATTTGTGATTACAAAGCCTGATGCAGTCAATAGATTTTAAAAGCTGCAGCCACTATTTGTTTAATGATTGTGTCAGTATGTACAAACATATGTTATCACATATTTTTTTGGATTATAAAAACTCTACAAAATGTGAAATTCATACATGTTTACAAATCTCCTGTAATCAGGGCTGGGGCAACATAGCTTGAGACCCCTTTCCTTTCTCCTCACCCCAATTTTATAATTTAAATATGGTGTCATAGGTCTCATCATACTCACAGTCAACTCTGTTATACAGACACTGAGGGGACCGTAGAAATTAACCATCTTAATTTAGAGAAAATTTAAGGGCTTTTTTCCAGGGAACAAAGCAAGCTATCTGTAATGATGAGCAAGGCTGTGCTCTAAGGAACATTGAAAGGAGCCTAGTTCTCTGAACCTGTAAAATCTAGGCTGCCCAGCATATGATTTGTATGAAAAGTCTGAGATTTTCTAGTCACCCAAAAGCAAAAGTTAGGTGCCAGGGGCCACAGGGCTCTGCTAGAGCACAGCCTTGATCAGGTGTCTGTATGAAGCGGTTGTCCGTAAAGAGGGCTTTTGGGTTACCAGTTATTGCAGAGGTGGATCCTAGTGGTACAGTAAAACCCCCTGACTTAGAACCTGAATTTCAAGAACCTGTTCAGCTAAAATAAAATTATGCCAGATGAGCCCCCTCTATATAAAAACCTGTTTAGCTTAAAATTTGAAACAGGTTCTTATTTTTGAAATCTATGAAAAAATTCTGTACACTTGAGCAGAGATAAATCAACATTTAGAATCTTCTTTGGAGACAAAGCTGTCTTATCACTCCAACTGCAATGTAAATGCCAATGTTTAAATTTAAATACATTCCTCTTTTTATGTCCATTCTCACATAACTGCTAATTTGGTATGCAGACTTTATATGAGGAATAAGGTTAAACACAAATACTCTTGGCTACATTTTTACTTCAGAAAATATGAACCCATTTAAAAACCATACCCTAAACTTGTGCTAACTACTATTTATATAAGAATCTGTTTAGGCTTACTTAGTTAATTCAGGTTCTTAGTCTCATGATTTTACTGCCCCATTATTCCACTTTTTCTATTTCCTTTCCCTGTCACCATTTTTTCAGCCTTGTTTTTCCAATATCAAAAGCACATTCAATGATCAAGCAATTTATATTTTAACTAAAGCCACCAAAATATGCAAATTGTTTGATATATATTAAACAGTGTAAACGGGTAAACAGATTGAATGACATCACTTAGCCTGTGTGGCAGGCATTTCAAAGAAAAGGGAAAGTTGGTCTTAGTGCAAGAGAAATGTGAGGGAAGGAGGGAGGGAAATGCCTGCCATACAGGAGACTAATTGTTTTTTGCATTATAAACATCAACCAGGTGAATGTTGAAATCACTCCCTCTTTCCTTGTGCAATCTTCACATTTCTCTTGTGCCCAAAACCCCTCTCCCTTTCCTTTTAAATGCCTGCTATGGAGGCTAATCACCACTGAATAAAACAGGGACTAGGCAAGAAACTGTCAAAGTCATAACATCCACACAACAACACACACCAATCTTGGAAGTAGATTGCTGGTTTCAAAATGCACAGGGCTTAACTGTATAATCAAACTTATCTTTTAATTTAATACCTGTAATTCTAATCCTACTGATTTTATACCTGCATAAAGAGAGTCACATGTATGACTGCATTATTTTATTATGCTTTTTTAGTCCTATTACAAAAACAGACATTCCTACATCAGAGTACTCATCAGCCTATTTATATACCAGTTTCGAACATTTTATGCTCACCTAATGCTATTGTTTGGATTAACCAGTCGCCGCTGCCCCGCTATTTTGTGATCAGCTTGTGATTACAACAGTAACACTTCCAGTAACATGTCACATTGGTCTTCGCGAGGCTACATTTTCCCATGAAAACATGCCGGTTTCAATTCGGAAAAAGTATCACAAAACGTGGGGCGCGTTGGGGAGCGATAAAAAATTAGCGTAGAACAAGGTTTGTAGAAACACTTACAACTATCTTCTACTTTCGACGGGCAGTATAATGGAAATTATAGCCTCTTAAAAACCGGGTTCAAATTTCATGCTCTTACAGGAGGAATCTTCGGGCTCCACGTTTTAGATTGAAATGAAGAATATTGATTTGTTTTTCTTCACAGAAAAAATCTAAACAAATATTAGCTTGTGAAATTGAGAAAAACTATCTAAGGCAAGAACTGTATCTATTGAAAAATAAAGCATATAACCTGTGAAATTTCTCGACCTTCGCCGCCATCTTGAAAATTTTGAATCCACAATGCATCGCAGTCGTAGTGCGCACACCGCCTGGTTTTGAACGTAACAGTTTGCGGTTCAATTTGAATACACTGAACTGTTGGTCTGACATTGTCGCGTACATACATACATACATACACACATACATACTTTATTGAGACTCCCTTCGGTCACAATTGTAACTATTACATAATACTGGTAAATAAGACAAGAAAACTTATTTACAGTAGTTTAATTAAATTCAAAATACATTCAAAATATATTCAAAATTATTTCGTATGAAACATACTAGTAAAAGAAGTCTGCTTATAACTATCAATATCTTTAGTATACTTAATATTGTCAGGTAGCCCATTCCATTGCCTTGGACCCCGAAAATAAAATGCCATTTGTCCCATTGACAGTCTACGTCGGGGGACCACAAAATTGTTACATCCTCTTGTGCTCTTGTTGTGAACTGGGATCTTTAAACTCTGGTGAATTCCCTTCTGCGCTTAAACAATCCTTGACTCGTCCAGTCCTGAAGAAGCCAGATCTTGGCAAGGATGTTTTAAAAAATTACCGACCTGTAGCCAATATACCTTTCCTAGCAGAAGTCATTGAGAAGGTGGTCGCGGTGGAGGAACTGAAAATCTATCAATGCCTTCTATGCAATCCGCCTACCGTAAACATGAGACTGCCCCTCTGCGCTTAATGACTGATCTTCTTAAGACTGTTGATTGTCGGCAAGATGTTGTTTTATATTACTCATGCTTGATTTGTCAGCCGCATTTGACACCCTAGACCATACTATACTTTTGGATAGGCTGGGTAGATACTTCGGTTTTTCCCGCACAGTGCTAAGATGGTTTTCGTTTTATCTTACTGGTCAGATACAATCTTGTACTATTCATTTTAGTAACACAACATCTAGCAGTCGAAGATTAGAATTTGGAGTTCCGCAAGGTTCGATACTCGGTCCTCTCTTGTTTTCTCTTTATACGGCACCTATTCAAGATATAATCTCTGCTCATATAACCTACATTGTATGTTCTACACAGATGACTCTCCACCCTACATAACTATTGACTCTCTTGATCAACGTCCTGCCCTCAACACCCTTCAGAAGTGTATTGGTGAAGTTATAGAATGGAACATCATCGGTAAGTTAGTGTGCAATCCTAGTAAAACAGAGGTCATTCAGTTTAGTTCTCCTTTCGTCAAGAACCCAATTCTCAGTGATTTTTTGGCAACTCTAGTCTAAGAGTACAACCATCAGACCGAGTTCGTAATCTTGGTGTCAAACTAGATAGAGAGCTCAATCTTGCAAAAAGGCTATGCTAGCGATTCGATTTATTGGCAGATTGACGAAGTATCTGAACAAAGATCACCTTAAAATGATGGTCAATACTTTTGTTACGTCGCGCTTGAATTATTGTAACAGTTTATACTGTGGCTTACCCGATCGCGAAATGGACAAGCTGCAACGTGTTCAGACTGTGCTGCACGCTTGGTTTCAGGAATAAGATCTGACCATACAACTCCTGTCATGAAAGACTTTCATTGGCTTCCTATTGTTGCACGCATCGACTTTAAAATACTACTTTTAACATTTAAAATTTTAAACGATTTACCTCCTTACTATTTGTCTTGACGCCTTCTCAATTACCAGCCGGCTCGTTTACTCCGCTCATTTAAAAGATTGGTTTTACAAGTTCCTTCTGTTAATACCGTGGCTTATGGACACCCATTATATGCATCGAAAATCCAAAGCAGTCTACCTAATCATATCAAAAACTCTGAATCTGTCTTTACTTTTAAGCAACGTTTGAAAACTTTTCTTTTTAAGAATAATTAATGTATATAGTTTCATTTAGACTTTATTTAGTGGGAGCGCATTTATTATAAGCGCTATTGTAAGCGCATTGAGAATTCTTTAAGACCTACTAGTATTAGTATTATTATTATTATTATTATTATTATTATTATTATTATTATTATTATTATTATTATTATTATTATTATGGGGTTAAAAACGCTTGTGAGCGAGTCAATGTGACTTTTCTCATGATTTGTGTGAAAGTTGCACGACACTATTCAGCTAATCATACCTTTAGTATGAAGTTACCAAACTTATTTCTACACCATATGTTCATTATACTAAAATTAATCTCTTCAGAGGGTAAGATAGATTAGAATGAAGGAGAAGCCACAGTTCAAAGTCCTAATATGCAGGAGAAATAACTTTCTTATAATATGCCTTGTTCTACTCTGGGTACGCTTTCTTTTGCACTCGCGATATGAAATGCCCCAGCAAGACATCCGGGATACAAAGTATGCGCAGTATCAGCAGGTACTTAGATGGGGAAGTCAAATGCAGTCTGGAAAGCCTTCTGTCGGCAGAGAAGATCAATGGATGCATTTTCGACTTATTCGTTTCATCAAAGCAACAAAATTCAAACGAGATTCAGAAAAAAGGGATTCCATGTCGAACTTGACGGTTTATCTTGATGAAGTAACAGAATACTCGTGGCCATCTCATTAAGTAGGTGTTTTCCAGAAAGGGATCACTCGATGGGATCTCTCGCCTTAAAACGGTTTTTGTACAGCAATCCTAGATTCTCAAATTTCTCACTATTTCGAAGTATTCCCTTGTATCTCCAAAATTCAACTACCATGTTCCCCAAACGAAGAATTCCAGCTGCCGTATTTGCGACTGAAAATACGCGTCTTTACCCGATCAAACGCCGTAGGTGGAAGCAAAATGGGAATGCGGGTTATCTCGATCCATCAAAGTGCTTCCAAAAATTGAAAAATGTTGCCGTCCACCTTAAGGAACTAGTTGTGTATCATTGCTTTGAGGAGAGGATTTAAAGAAATCAGTGACTCTGCTATAAATCCCATCACCAGTTTATTGAGAACAAACAAGATACATTAGTGCAAAAAAAAGTAATTTTTTGCCTTACAAAAAACCTTACAAAGGTTAACGAAAACATAAAATTCATAAAAAAAAAACTTGAAATAGCACAATTAATTGCTATCTCAACATGATATGCACTTTGCTGTTTTGTTTACCATTACTGCCAGCTTTGCTTGTTTAATTTATTGCCTTTATGATTCACTTGTCATTATTTTTTTTTGAGACGGAGTAGACATCGCGGTCATTCAATTTTTGGACTGGTCTGAAGTTGTCGCACATGTGCGGACCATAATACTTTGCTTTAAGTTTCCTGAACTTTTCGAGCTAGAACACAAAAAACAAACAAAATTAATTAATTAGTTTATTAACGACGCATCATTTGTTTTTTAAACTAACAGTTTGTGGTTCAATTTAAATACAGTGAATGTGTGGTCTGACATTGTCGCATATGCAACAGAGGAGCCTGCCCGTAATCTTTGTAGAATAGGTCTTTTGCAAAATCATTGTAAATACTGTCGTTAAATCTTTCCCTTACGTATTTAAGGGCTCAAATTGCCTGTTATGAATAAACAGGAGATTTGAGCCCTATAATTTCCAAATTTACAGGGTTTTTATGAAAAACCACTTAATCGTGACTGGGTGGCAAGAGCCGTTTTTACCATACAAATCCTCGTAATTTTCGGCGGCTGTTGCCATCGCTAATTTTGCGATATACAGCTTAAAATTTACAGGTTACCTAATTTTAATATGCTTTTTCAGTTCCTGCTAACCAAATGTTTCAAATGCTAACTGTTTTCGTGTTTACAGAAAGTTGAACACTTGTTCAACTAATCAGTGCCTGTGTGACTCCTTTAAGCTTGTCTAAGAAACATTAACATACTATTCATCATCTGTTATTCCAATTGTTTGTTTGTAGTACAGTGTTAAAAACATTGACATGGTAGACATTGTTGTCGCTTTTGCTTCTGAAATATTCGCCATATGTGGCAAAAGGTCCTCCAATTTGTTAAAGGCAAAAACGAGTTGTCCAGTGAGAAGAATGTCTTGAGGCCCTGCCAGGGTAAATTCCGACAAGCGACATGGCCCAAAAAGTAGCGACAGCGCTTAAAATGAAATCGCGACGAGAGACAACCTCCCTCGGCCAAATTGCGACAGTGACGGCAAAGCCGACAATAAGCGACAAGCATTTGTAAACACCGACACGAGACGTTTTAAAATTCAGACGGGCGACATGGAACCCCCCCTCCCCCCCTTGGAAGGGCCTCTGTCTTCCCAACATCACCCCATTTCCAAAGAAAGTCTCATTTATTCCTTTAAAAAATGTCAAAGAGCCGGTCAAAGCTACTCTGACAGTGAGTGGCTGAACCACCGATGTGTTATCTTAGTACTTGTAGAGTGTACACTCCTAACTGTAAAGCGTAGAAGTTTACTTAACCTAGGTTTCATTCAAGGTAGTTAGCATTACATACCTGACTAGTAGAAGCGAGGATATAATCTTTCAAAACTATCCACCGTATTGTTTGAGTGCAAGGAGGCGTAGTGAGGGAACCCCGGTAAGTGAAGTAACATTTTAAAGTCAAACGTTTGGCGCCTCCTTTCTTCTTTTTATAACCATTGTCATTGCCACCATTGTCTTTACCACCATTGTCTTTACCACCATTGTCATTGCCACCATTACCATTGCCGCCATTACCATTACCACCATTGTCATTACCATTGCCATAACCATTGCCATAACCATTGCCATTACCATTGCCATTACCATTGCCATTGCCACAACCATTGCCATTACCATTGCCATAACCATTGCCATTTCCATTGCCATTACCATTGCCATTGCCATTGCCACAACCATTGCCATTACCATTGCCGTTACCATTGCCACCATTATCTTTGCCCTTTTTAATGAAGCATTTTTTGGGAATGAGATCCTTTAAATAAATTCCATCTTCCTTTGTCACAGGATAGGTATCCTCTGTAAAAATAATATGACGGTGAATTGTACCTCACATTTCAGAGGTCACACAGTAAGATTTTGTCCACAAACTCAAAAGAGGTTCGTGAATTTTGGAAAGTATGGTTGTTTTTACTTGGAAGCTATCGAGGTGAGTTCTCAAGATGCAAAAAGTTTACGGATTGTTCTAGGGTTGGAAATATTATTAACTAATAACCGAGGTTCGCACACCAGATTCAGACCCACATTTAGAGTTGCAAAATACTTGTCCCCATCCCATTGGCTCTGTCACTGGCAGTTGAACAGAAGGTTTAATGTAATCTTATGATGGATCAGAGAGACATTATTGTTAATAGCTAACTGCTAACAATTTTTTGTTACCCTAAAGTAATTGTTTAACCTACGAACCTAAGCTATATCTTTTGAAGCCATGCAAGTAACTCGAGGCTCGTGTCTTATCAATTGTCCAGTAAAACAATCTTGCTTTTAATGAAAGGAAGTTAGGGAACAATTTTGGATTTGGAATATATGACTACAAGTGTTGCACGACTGTGTGTGTTTTAAGCTATGTTAAAACTATGCCTTAGTCACAGTATCCTGCGGAGGAATGGTCTGCTCCACGTTCAGCCGTTCTTTGTGTCGTCACGCAACGTTCCTCCCCAAGAAGAGCGTTGCGTGACGAGTACAAAGAACGGCTGTGAAGCAGACCAGCGGAGGAGGCTTTTAGTTATTGGTCTCATTTTGTATTAGTAGCTTTGTTAGTCGTAGCTTGTGATCTGTTTTTGTGATATTGCAGAGAATTTATACCTACTCTAAAATCTAACGAAAATTATATTGTTAATTAGCACGGAGAGGATCGGTGCATCCTCCTACTACGCTGTGGTATCACAATTAAATAGTAGCTGCTAGATGGTGGTGGGTTTTGGCTGTTTCCCGTATTCTTCGCTTTTAGTTTCTCTAAAACACCTACCAGGCTTGATAATGTGGTGCATCAGATTTGCCAACTTTCCAAAAATTTTGTTTCCCTTGGAAGGTGCCTATAATAATTAAACAATTTAGAATGACGTCAAGATGACGTTACTCTTCTATTACGACCAGAATCCTTCATGGCTTTGCTTTGTTTCAAATTAGGGCTTTGGTAATTGCATCCTCGCTGGGATTACCAAATTTATATATGAACAGGGAAAACGAAAGGATTATGGTCGTAGAAGTAAAATGACGCCATCTTCCAAAAGGCTTATTATAATTTTAATTTCCCCTTCAAGTCACACATATATTAAGGTGCATCCAAATAGACTTCTCAAGAATTCATTATTTTAATCTTTTTCACTGGTTTAGATGCCCGTTTTTTTCGAAGGTGACACAACTGGTTAAAAATTAATGAAAGTCTCTGTAGGCTTTACATTTCGGCCTTATTTAATTTAAAGGAAATAAAAAATATTATTGAGTAAATAGACTAGCACTTTCATAGCAAACCGCTCTGAATTATTGGAATTATTTTGTCTCTGGATGGTTATAGCCACGTTTTGCAGGAATAGGATTTTACTTCTTTACGAAGGAGGGGAAGGGGAGGGGAAGGTTGCTCTGTATATTTAAGTTGTAATGTTTATTGAGGACGAATTGCAGGAAGGAAGGTAGACTGCAGGTTGTACCTTAATCCAAACGGCTACAACAGCTCGTGGTTCTTCACCATGACCAAATACCATGTGAAGCTGGGGAAAACAAGAGAAGTTTAAGGTCATTCCCGATGAGTTGGTTCAAGTAGGGACCTAGTGGAGGCACTTGATCGTTTAGTGTCTAAATAGTAAGATGTTTTCTGTACAACAATAACTTCTGGTTAGTCTTTTTCAACTTTTTCATACTCCCACTTTGTTGCCCACTGAAAGATCACTCAAGAAAGCACTGCGCCCGCAATTGCGAGTAATATGGCTCAGCACTAAATGTTGGAGATTTACATACATTCCCGTCCTGGGTAATCGTTTCGTCCATTGCAATCGTTTCCTGTAACAAAGATATTACGGGCCAGGATATGAGAAATACCGAATTGAGTCAAACGTAAAAGAAAAAAGGTTTACGTCGTTGTTATCACTTACCTCACCAGACAGTTGTTTTCCATTGAGCTTGTGTTCAGACCCGCGTTCATTAACACAGCCAAAGTGAACATGAAACTCGATCAATTCGAATTTGTTATTCCCCAGGGGACCTCCAGTTAGAGAAGCTCCATTGGAATCAGCAATTTCAAGTTTAGGTGAATGCCCAGTGTTTTCAAGCGTTCCAGTAACAAGTCCCCTTGCGTTGTCAAAAGTGATTTTTAAACGACGGTAGCTATCTTCTTCCTCAACCTCGCTTGTTTTGATGTTTATTGGGGATTGTCTATTTCCACCACACTGATTGTCTTTTTTCAGCTCTAGATCGTGCCAGTCTTCAGGACCTTTCACTATAACGAACAAGGAAATTAAAAAATGGAGCATTTTAGTGGGGAAACAAATTAAAAGCGTAATGTACAAAGACCTACCTTCGGTAGAGCGAAACTTGTGTTATTCGCTCTGACCCAAAACATGCCATGGCAGTCACTTCTATCAACAAGACGACGATAAAAGCCAGGTAAATTGCAGCTGCTCTTTAAAAATCAGATGTTAATGAGAGTACTGAAATTCGATAAATTTGGTTTTATTCACGCACCTTTAAGGTGGTAAAAAGTAATTTTATAAACTTTGTTGATAAAGCTATTGTTCTCGTTTCACCCCCAATCCGACGGAACACCCTATAAAGGTGATTATTATAAAAGTGACTTTATCAACGTTGACATAACTAATTGTAGTTGATAAAACTTAGTACTTGTTCCTGTTTGACCCCCAAACCGACGCAGCTCCGTACAGTTTGTTTCAGAACCAACCCCTTCAAACATAACGTAAAATAATTAATTCAATCAACTAATGAGACGCCAAAACAAATTCACGAATTTATCACTGGGTTAAAAACGCTCGTGAGCGAGTCAATCTGACTTTTCTCATGATTTGTTTGAAAGTCACACGAAACTTTTCCACTAATCATACGTTTAGTATGAATTACCAAACTAATTTCTACACTATATGTTCATTACACTGAAATCTCTTCAGCGGGTAAGTTAGATTAGAATGAAGGAGAAGCCATGCATTCAAAGTCATATTAAGGTGGACGAGAAATAACTGTCTTATAACATGCCTTATTCTCGTCTGGGTCAAAAGCTTACACTGTCGTCTATGGCTGTATATTGTTTGAACGCCTCTTTAGGATTTACTATTCTCAAGAAACTGTCATGGATTTCCCAGATCTGGAGGTTCTTTAACAAATTGCATTTTGCGTACCAGATCAAAGTTCGCTCTAATATAGAAGGACAGTAACTAACTAAAGGTTTATGTAGCTCCAGTTATACTAACCTTCATCACTTGTCAGGTTTACATAGCCCCATTTTTCGTCTGAAAAAGACACAATTAAACATAATAAAGATAACTATAAATAAAGCGGCTAGTTTACAAAGAAACTGTGGTGTTGCGTTGATGGTGGTGTAAAACACAAAGATCTGGGTTTATCCTGATTTTACAACTGAAGGTAGACTAGTGGGGGAGGGAGGGGGGTTGGGGAGTTAAGAGGCTGGACGTTTCAAGCGTAGGCCCTTAGTTAGAGCGAATCCAAAGTTCCACTGCATGTAGCTAACTTACTAAGTTTGCAAAGATCTCCCTCCTTTAAGACCTTTTTGATTCAAAGACGAGGACCAATACGGGGACGAAATTTTACTTTAAAGTTTTATTTCGCGAATTCTTAAAAATATACAGCTATTTCGAGAAAGGTTGTCGAAAAAAGTGCACCCGACAATTCCGAAGGGTGTTGTGGGTGATCTTGAGTTCGCTGTTTTTCAAAGAAATTTCAAGAAATTGCACGAGAAGCCATGGACATATGTTTGCGAGTGCTAAAAGAAAGCAACAAAAGTAGATTCGACAGCTACAGTGTCAGGAAAAGTGCATTGATCATATCCCATATTACCTTTCGGGATTGTCGAGTGCACAGTTTTTCCTACAACCTTCCTCGAAATAGCTGTATACCCCAGAAAGTTTCTTTGTAGCTTCTTTGTCACTTGATGACTTGTTGGTCGCTCGCTTGCTTGGCGGATTCGTTCTGACGAAGGCCTGGGGCTTGAATGCATGCGCATAACTAGCTCGGCGGTTACCCAAGATGACGTCTGCTTGTTGGTTGTTAATTGATTGAGTCTTTTAAAGGTGTTAGACAATGAATTATGCGCTCTGAAAGTTTCTACATGAACATAGGGTAAGTGTGTTTGCCATTTACTTGTGTTTTTCATAGATGTTGAGGTGTTTTTGCACAATTTAGTAAAAAGCTGCAGCACGATTTCAGCATTTTTGGCTAAAACATGAGCATAATTTACAAAACCAGCACAGTTGTTGGCATAATTTTAGAAATAAAGGAGCACTGCTAGTAGCATATTATGCTACTTTTGCCAACACAATCTATCAAAGCGTACTCTCAGTAGAGATGTTCAATGTAAGCTTATTAACAATAACGATAAAAAGTCAAAAAACAAAAAATATGAGCGAAAGGACAGTGTTATTTGCCACACCCTAAAACGCTATAGTATCGGGTTTTGACGATATGAAACGAGTTTACAAAGTGACAGGTACACATCCTAATAAGCCATGCTGGGAGTATAGTTTCAAACAATGACTGCAAATGTTGGGGACAAAAATACGGTCCTAGTTGTTATGTCTTCTACATCACATAATTCACAACTTACCGCTCTCGCTATAGACAGCATCAATGGTAGTGAACAACACCAACAACTTTATTACTGATACCATTTCAAGGTTTCTAAAATTCGATTACAAAGCATAAAAACAACAATAAAATTGACTGATATGATATCAAAAAATGAGAGAAATTGACCTTGCTTGACTGTCCAGATGGTGGTTAAAGCGCAAATTCATGAAACAAAAAAAAAACTTTAACCTTACTTTTTTAAATTGAGTCCTAGAAAACAAATTGTACCAAATTTCGAGTGCCTCGAGAAAGGCGTCAATTTTGTCAAAGCATTTCTGGGGTCGCAGACTCAAAAAGTGCAATGGCGTTTGTTAATAGTCATTGCTCGAAATCTGATAGGTGTAAAGGTGTTAGATGTGTAAGTTATATCTCCGATGAAAGATATGATTAATGCATACCTTAAAGACTGTTATCAAATGAACTTCACAACTGCTCTAACCGTTCTTTCTGTAGTATCCCACCGTGCCAGTCGCTTGTTACTGACCTACTAGTGTTCACTCCACAAGCTGCGAGAAATAAATACTCCTATGATTCTAATTGACAAAAGCACTTAACAAGAGCTGAAATCCAGACGAACAGTATATGTATTTTCGACCTTGGCTTAATATCTTAATTAGGATGAATCGAGACTATCATAATACGTGGTTCCAGAGAAGGAGCAGGTGGGCTATCAGACTGTATCAGTTATATTGAGTATTAAACTTGAAACCCTTCATAAAAAAAAACAAAAACAAAAACTCCACCAATTCAAGATACTCTATTTTTTCCAAAGACCTTGGGCTTTCAATAATAAGCAAAAAGTAAGAAACTTGGTCGTTTTATGCACGATCAATAAAAGTGGGTAAATCTGCAAAAAGCAACTCGGCATGCATTAAAAATGGGTCTCTCCTTAATTACGTCACAATAGGAACAATTGAAGGCAATATCGCCAGTGGGCAGTTGACGTTCGGAACTTTTTAATCAATGTCGACTATTCGAAATTTAACCCTGGGCAACCCAAGAGCACAAAAGTGGCAAAAACAGTGAACTGAGTAGATGATGGATGATATTTGTTGCCAATGTTTTAGAAAAACAATGTCTGTTACTAGGTACAAATGTTAACAGATTCTAATTTTAGTGCTAGTGAGTAAAAAGAAACTTTATTCACCAAAAAAATAAATAAAATATCTGTTAATTTAAGATTCATGATAATTCTTAGACACTTTAATTTTTTTCATGCCAGAGAGTGGACAATGTGAATAGCATTATGAAATTCAGACAACCGATCTTTCTGACAATTATTGTAAATTGTGATCGACAAATACTGTCATTCCGTTTCTACCAAAATGCCAAGCAAGTCAATTCCAAAATTATTGTTTACCGGTTCGTATAAACAGGCAATTGTAACATCGCTTCGGACGAGCTATGTTAAAGCAGGAATAGAGAGGACCAAACTCTAGTTTGGGTCTGACTATCGTCCCCGGGACAAAAGTCGACCTTCACTTGCGACGAAAAAAACTAATAACTTCAAAATTTATATAATAATGTATGTGTATTTAGCCTCGCTCGATTAAAATTGCTTTTTGCTCTGATTCAGTTGATTGGTTCGACGCGTCCTAAGTTTGACGTCTGACCTAGCCTGTTCCAGGCTCCGAGATAGTCGGGTCTCAGCTGAATTGAGAAAGCGCAAACACACCCCGCAAACATTTCGCGTGCCTTTCACTTTCGCGTCTTCCCCACTAACTGAGAGCCTGGAACAGGTTACGTCTGACCCAACAGACGATCTTAACTTAATTTAGGTCGACCTAACTAATTTAGAGTTTGGTTCGTCTCATGAAAAGTTCAACGTTTGACCTAGGCCTCAGTCTATAACGGAAAACATAAATTGTTATCCATAGGATCTCTCATTACTTTTAATGTGTTATAGTCTCCTCTTCTTGTTCTTCTTCGTCTTTTTCTCTTCTGTGCGAAAATTTTAGCAGAACGTCTTTGTTACTGTTCCGTTTTTTGAAGCCGCAAAAAACTGCAAAAGAAGCTGTCTACAACACCGCTCTGTTGAAGCTCTACTGGTGTCTATGGTCTTTTAAAAATATATATTAATTTTCTTTTTTGCATAGTACCATCAGCCTTGCAGATTTATGTTCACACTTTGGTTGTTTGCTTGTTTTGTTTTGTTTTTTTTTTGCTGATCAGATCTGACGTGCTAGCAGCTCAAGACATTACGGATTTATTTAACGTTAAGCAACGTTCTGTACTGTTTGAAAAAAACGAACAGGATTGTATTATCAGGTTTCAAAAATCGAGGCGAAGCCGAGAGTTTTTTTAAACATGATAATACACGACTGCAAGTTTTTCGAACGGCTTCAAAATCTCTGATCAGTATAGATCAACTCATTCTTGCACTAATATTTAGATTTGGGGTTTATTTCGTCTAAAAAATTGAATGTTAAGTTTAGCCTTGTCTTTATCAGATAAAAAGACATTCATTAAAAAATTAATTTCTTTTGCTTTTTCTTTATAAATTATTAATGAGTGTTTGAACCAGATATACTAATGTGAAGTCTGAATTGTAATTATCGCCTCTCAGAATTACCCCTTATTAAGACACATTTGGAGACAGGTTATTTATAGCAGGTGCCTAACTTTAGAATGTCCTCTGAGCAGTAAATATTTTAAATTC